CATGCGCTCACCCCCGCTTATGCTCCAGCCACACCAGCTCTGTGCGGGTCTTCTCCTCGAGCGCCATCTCGCGCAGGCGCAGCAGCGCGGCCTGGTGCTTGGCGCGCAGCTCCTCCTCCCGCAGGCTCTGCTCCAGCATCTGCAGCTTGAAGCGGTCCAAGGCTCCGAAATCTCCCGGCTCGGCGCTTCGGGGCCTCGCAGGGCTCCACTGGGGCGGGCAGACCGACCGGGCCGCGTCACCGCCAGGCGTCCAGGCCTCCCCAGAGACTGGCCTCGCCTGGAGGGAGCAGCGCCTTTCTCTGGGGAAGAGGCCGCCGCCTCCGGGAAGCCCTCCCAGGCTGCCCGCCCCACTCTTCCCTATACCGTGCCCCTCTTCCCTATGCGGTGTGTCCCTCTCCCGACTGTGAGCTCCCCAATGGCAGGCGGGGTCCTCATGATCTTGGCCTCGTGCCCAGCCGTGCTTCAGTCCATGCACTCTAGAGGGTTTGTGCTCTACAGGGTTCCAGAAAGTCCAGGCCACCTGCCTTGAAATGTGGGCCAGGCTGCCTGAAGTACAATGCCCGCCCTCGTCTCTTGCCCAGGGCTTAGGGCAGGCTTAGGTAGCTGTCGGCTGGAGGGTGGGTGATGTGTTGGCAGGACCTACAGGGGAACCCATCCCCTAGGTGCAGGCCCAGGAGAGGCCAACCTGGACACCTGGCGGCCCGTGCCGTGCAGGAGGATTAAGGTCTGTGCCCCTGCCAGTGTCATGCTGGACCCTGAAATTGTGCCCCTCCCCCCAGGGGACCTCTCCCTGTACCTGGTGGGTAGGGTGGTCCGGAGGGCAGAGCTTGGCCAAGGGCAGCTGGGAGGGGGCTTGGTCAGGCCTCCCCAGCTCTGAGGACAGAAAGCAGGTCATGGTCGGGTCACGGGGGAGCCTTTTCTGCAGGAGAGCCTCACAAAAGTAAGATGTCTAGGGCCGTTTAATGCCCCCCCCCCCCGGCACACGCAGCGTCACACCAGATCTGCACAAGGCCACACTAGAAGGGAAAAGTCTCCTTATTCCTGATGCAAAGTCCTGGTGTGCGACCCCCACCGAGCATGGGAAAGACCAGACCAAAAGTAGAGGGAGCTCGGGGCTGACAGCCAACTGCTCTGCTCGCACACAAGGGGAGACTGCGGCCCAGAGCGGGAGAACGACTGTTTGAGGTCCAGCACCAAGGAGGTGGCAGGATGACAGCAGGGCCCAGCTTCCCAGCCTGAGCAGCTGTCCTGCTGCTGGTCACCCTCCCATTCCGGGTGTGGCGAGAATAGAGGCCCAGCTACGGAAAAGATCGTTAAGGACTTTCACTTTCCACTAGGAGAGAGTAAAAGGGATTGGATTTTGCATTTACCATCCCACCTGAAACAACTGTATACGTATGTATGTAGATACGTGTGTGTATGTAGAGGTGCGTGTGTGTGAAGTGGAAGAACAGTTTTCTGGACACTGGACATCAGACAACAGCACGGTGATCCCTGAGAGAGAAATCAAGGTGAGACCTGCTGCTATAGCAACTGACTGCCCTGAGAGAGTTTCTGGGCTGCACTGCAGAGAGGGGAAACTGAGGCCGGGCCTGGCGGAACCCCTGAGTGGAGGAGACAGAGCTGAGAGTGTGAGGAGACTGAGGCAGCCGAGTTGGTGGGACAGAGCATCAGAGAGGAGAGAGCCACACAGGGAGGACCCTGGAGATCTGTGCGGTCCTCCCCTTGAGTATCCAGCAGAGAACTGATCCATCAATGCATGTAAAGAAGCTTCCAGATGCTGGAACAGAGGCATCCAAAAGGACTAGAAGGCTGGGAACTGTGCCAACATCTGCCAGCCAGGCTGGAAGACCTCAGGGTGCACAGGGGTTGGGTGGTATGCACACAACGCTCTTGTCCTGGTTGTGGGCAGTAACTAGCCCCAGGCTGAGCACTACTTTAGATCCGACTAATAAACTATAAAAGCAGCTGACTGCGCACTGTGGTTCATGCCCATAGTCCCAGAGCTTCGGGTGGCTGAAGCAGAGGACCACTTGAGGCCAGAAATTCAAGACCAGCCTGGGCAACATAGCAAGACCCCTATCTCTACAGAAAGGTGTGTGCCTATAGTCCCAGCTGCTCAGAAGGCTGAGATGGGAGAATCACTTGAGCCAAGGAGGTCGAGGCTGCAGTGAGCTATGAGTGCACCACCGCACTCCAGCCTGGGTGACAGAGCGAGACCCTGTGTCTAAAAAAAATAATAATGACAAACTATAAATGTGAGACCTGAAAGGATCAAATTACTTCCAAATAACTGCATTCCAGAACAAAGCTTAAGAATGTTCGTAGGAATACAAAAATATCTAGCACTCAACAAGGTGAGATTCACAACATCTGGAAGGTATGGAAGAAACCAGAAAACATGATCCATGATGAGGAGAAATAGTCAATTAATTACTGACCCAGGCTTGACACAGATGTTAGCATTAGCAGGGAAGGGCGCTAAAACTTTCATAACTATAGGCCATAGGTTTAGAAAGTTAAGTAGGATCACGGAGGATATAAAAAAAGAGAAGATTCAAATAGAACTTTCCGAGATGGAACTAAGACACCTGAGATGGAAACCACGCTGGGTGGGATTCATGTCCGCCTGGACGTTGCGGAGAAACGATCCCTGACGGTGAAACGCAGCAGTGGAATATCCAAAAGGAAACAGAGAGGAAAGGGGGATAAAAGTAATAAAGAAAAGAGCTGCAGTGAGCTCGCAGCCCCAGGCGGCCTCGTACGTGGGGACTCGGAGTCCCGCACGGCGAGGAGAGAGAAGAGGGAGCGGAAAAGCGTGGGAAGAAACAGTGGCTGAAACTTCTCCAGATTGAAGGTGATAAACCTACTGGCCCAAGAATCTCAGACCCCAAGGACAAGGAGCACGAAGAAAAATTATAGCAAAGTATATTATAATCAAATTGCTAGAACCCACGAACAGAGAGTCTTCAGAGCAGTCAGAAAAGACACTGCACAGGTGAACAGAGACAAGGGCGACGGCCGCCTTCTCGTTAGAAGCAGCACAGGCGAGAAGACGACGCAGCAACGTCCCTAAGGACTGAAGGAAAAATCGTCCGCCTGGAATTCCACAGCCAGCAAAGAACACGTCAGAAAACGAAGATGTGATGAAGATGTCGTTAGACACACAAAAGCCAAAGACTGTCGCCAGCAGACGCGCACTGCCAGGAACATGAAAAGTCCTTCGAGCAGAAGGAAAATGATGCCAGTTAGAAATCTAGATCCGTGAAAAGGAACAGAAAGTGCCAGAAATGGTAAAATGGTGACTACAGGGAGATACAAATACAGATAGAACTTAAAACTCGTAACAAGGTAGTGGACTGTTTAACAAAGTAGTAGAAACGTAGAGTCTGTAAAACATCGAGAATAAGACGTGCGTCCATACGAGCGCGAAGGCTGGGAAGGGCGGGTGGAAGCGCTGAGCGAGGCCCCTTTGCTGCGCGGGGAGCGTCGGACGCCACTGGGAGGGGGACTGCGTGCGTGTGCGGTGACGAACCCCGCAGCAACCACTCGGTGACAGAGCTATGGCTCACATGCCAACACTGGAGAAAACGGAATGCAAAAAACACCATTTAATCCAAAAGGAGGCAGAAACCAAGCAGCAGCAGAAGAAAGTAAAGGACAGGTGGAACGAAACAAAGACAAGACAATAGACCCCCCAACCACAGCAGCAGTCACGTGCGATGCGCGCAGTGTGAGCACCCCAATTCCAAAGGCAGAGGCTGCCAGACTGAATTTTTTTAAAAGCAAGATCCAACTATATGCTGTCTATAAGAAATGCCCTTGAGGCCGGGCGCGGTGGCTCACACCTGTGATCCCAGCACTCTGGGAGGCCTAGGCAGGAGGATCGCTTGAGGTCAGGAATTTGAGACCAGCCTGAGCAAGAGCAAGACCCTGTATCTACTAAAAATGGAAAAATTAGCCGGGTGTAGTGGTGGCACCTGTAGTCCCAGCTACTCGGGAGGCTGAGGCAGGAGGATCGCTTGAGCCCAGGGGTTTGAGGCTGCTGTGAGCTATGATGACACCACTGCGCTCTAGCCAGGGTAACAGAGTGAGACTCTGTCTCAAAAAGAAAGAAAGAAAGAAACGCACTTGAAATACAAAGAGGCAAATATGTGGGAAGTAAAAGGACGGAAGAGAAGACGCCACCTAACATTAGTTCAAGGAAAGCTGGCGCGGCTCTTTCACTACCAGACAAACTCAGCTGCAGAGCAAAGCGTGTTCCCGGGATAAAGAGGATTATTCCGTAACAAGCGGCCGGTTCTTCGAGAGCGCATCATAATCCGGATGTTTTTGTATCTAATGTCGGAGCTGCAAGACACATGAAGCAAACACGAACAGAACCATGGGGGGACTCAGCTCCGCGGTTACAGGCGGTATTTCCGCACCCTTTGCTAGCAGGGCGGGAGCAGCAGCAGGAAACCCACCGGGCCGTCGTGGACTTGAGTGGCACAACCTAGTCGACATCACAGAACACCGCACCCCACGACAGAACGCACGTTCTCTTCAAGAGCTCGCGAAACGTCCGCCAACACGGGCCACTCTCTGGCTAAAACCCAAGTCTCAACGTGATTGGAATCATACAAACATGTTTTATGGCCACGATGAGATCAAGCTAGAAATAGACAGCGGCAGCCTCGCGATGCGGCTCTGTCCGGCTGGTGGGATGCCCCGTGTGCCGCGTCCACACCGGGGCTACGAGCCGACCGCCGGCACGGGGAGACAGGGGACTTGGGGACATTCTCACCTGCAGTGGCTGATGTGCCCGCCCCACTCGCCCGTCCTTCCTTGGGAGAGGATACGGCGGTGTCTGTGCCCAGGGGTGGGTGTGACCTGCCACTGGGCGAGAGAACGCACTGGATGCAGCACCAGCGGGGCCAGCAGGGCCACACCTGCGGCTGTACTCAGTCCCCCCACCCTCTTCTATATTGGGAGGGGGCCGCTGGCCCCAGCCTCGGGCCTCACTGGGGTCTGGCCGTCATGGTCCTCTGAGAGGTTGTCCTCGGCGCTGGGTCCCCACAGGTCTGCAGCTGCTCCAGCTTTGCAGCCATTTCCGGCCTGGCCTGGGCCGAGTGTTTCTCCATCAGCCGCTGTGAGGACAGGGAGGAGGCGTGTGCTACGGACGAGGCACAGGGCGGCTTCACGACCCGTGGACATTAGGTTGGGCCAGCTGCGCCGGGCCGGGGTCCCAGGGAAGGAGCCAATGTCGGGCAGGTCTCCAACCCCAGGGCCTCATTTGGCCATCTTCCAAGTGGGGCCGACAGCCCCTCCCTGCCTCCTGGAGAGGGCTGGACACCGCAGGGCTGGGGAGGGTGGCAGGTGCCTGGCGGACACGCAGGGAGGCCAGGGCTGGAGCCCCAGGAGTAGGAGGGGGGACGACCTGGGGCCAGCGGCACAGAGGACGCTGGGAGGAAAACCCCAGCTCGCGGCGGCTGTGGCTGGGGCCACCCAGCAGGCGCAGGGCCGGGGGCCAGAGCACCGGAGGGCAGCAGAGGTGTGGACGAGAGGGAGCAGGAGGGAGAAGGGGAAAGAGGGAAGGGCCGGGTGTGTCTGTGCCACTGTGGGTCTGAGGGTGTCTATGTGCATGCCCCCGCACGCGTGTACACACGTGTACATACACCCACACGTGTGCACACACTCCCTCCAGTTCCCTCGCTCTCCTGGGAGCGCCCCAACGTGCACTGTGAGTGCGCGTCCCCCCTTCAGTCACGGGGCCAAAGACAGAGAAGAAAGAGCCACTTTCCAAAGACCCGTCACACCCAGCCAGGTCCCAGCCACCAGCGCCAGGTCAGTGCCCTGCTGGTGGGGTTGCTGCCGCCAGGCCTGGCACCATCTCCCCCTTCAGGGCAGGTACTGGGCTGCCTGGCTGGCAAGAGCTGCCTATCTGACAGGGTTAAGTGGCACTGGCACAGGAAGACTGGGCAGGGACAGGCTCGGGAGCAACCTCGGGCTGTGGGCAACCCTGGCTCAGATGCCCAACAGACCTGGGACACAGTGGAGACAGTCGTCTGTGACCCGGCTCTGGTCCCGGGCAGGGGCACCACCAGCACAGGTGCCCCCAGGACACTTGTGGCCCAAATGTCCTGTTTCTACTCTGCTCTGCTTTCAGGTGGGTTCTCGAATGAACCTACCATGCCGGCCTCTGGCTCGCTTGTCCTTAGCAGGGGCAGGGCCCGCAGTTCCCTCCCAGGCTCGACTTGCGAGCTTCCCTCCCACCCTGACTCCTGCACAGAAGGGCGGGTGCGGGGCACCCTGCGAGGGCGGCCGGCTGACCTGCGGCTGGTGTCGGAGGAGCAGCCTGTCCAGGGCCATCTGCGTCTCCCAGGCCTCCCGCTGCGCCCGCTGCTGCAGAAGCGCCAGCGCCTGCCCCTGCGTCTGCTGGGCCAGCTGCCGCGAGAGGCCTGGCTCAGCTTCCCCGCCGGCGCCTCAGCCAGAGAGGGCAGGCCCCTCCTCGGAGGGTCACCCCGATGGACCCGCGTCCGGGCAGGGACCGTCCCTCAGCTGGCCCGCCTTGCTGTCCTGCGGGGGCTTCCCACCCGGCGGGGGAGGGCCAGGTGCCTGGGGCGACTCTGCCTCCCCCATGTCCGCACCCCCTCCTGTTTCTAAATTCTACAATTCTGTCCGCTCAGCCCCAGGGGGACAAAGGCTGCTCCCAGCTCACCCCAAACAGAAAGGCCTAAAGGGGGCACGGTGTCATCGGCCTGGGGCATACCTTCAGTGACTCGAGAAAGCTCAGGGACTTCCGCTGGATGTCGGCGAGGTGTCCGGCGCACAGGTCTCCAGGACGAGGCTCGCCAGGCTCCTGCTGACCTGCAGAGCCACGGGGCACAGCTGAGCCCTGGGAGCTCCCTGGCCTCCCCAGCGCCCCACAGCAGGTGAACACAGCCTCTCGGCCTGCAAGGAAACTGAGGCACAGAGCCCAGGCGTGCAGGCGGCCGGGTCCTGGGCTGGCTGATGACAACCACATCGAGAAGAGCCCCCGCCCTGCGTGTCCTGGGAGAGCTGGGAGTCACCTCATCCCCCCAGGTTTGTTCCGCCTGACCCCAGCCATGACCCCTTCCAGGACCAATGACCGGGGCTGTGGGCACCACAGAGGCCGAGGGCTCAGGCTTCGCCCCCAGACAGACCTGGGCCCCGGTCTCGGCCCCGTCACGCACTCATGGGTGACCTTGGACAAACCCTCAGGCAGTCAGAGCCTCTGTGGGGACACACGGGTTCCTGTCCTGGTGTTACGGTCCAAGGAGACAGCCTGATAGGCACTCAGTGGCGGCAGCTGTCGCCATCACTGATAGCCAGGGCAGCGATGACGGGTGGCTGTGCTTGGCACAAAGGCACGAGTCCGAGGGTTCTCGGAACTTCTGGGTTGTTCCAGAACATGAGTAAGAAACCTCCACCTCTCCCTTGGATTGTGGAGTCCCCAAGGGCAGCAGAGGGGGCTCCTCTATCCCCCTGGAAGTCCCCAGGAACCCCGCTCTGCCTGCATGCAGGGTTCCCCCGCCCCGTGCAGGAGAGGCAGTCAGAGCGCCCCTTCCCTGCCTGCCCTCGCCTGGTCCCGGCGAGCACCGCGGAGGAGGACCCTGAGCTCCCGCCCGGCTCCGCTGCCCAGGGAATGACATCTCAGGGGCTCGTGCGCCCCTCCCCAGATCAGAGCAGAGCATGGCGAGAGCGGTGCAAGAGCTATGAGCAGCAGCTGGGCCAGCTCCCGCGTGCCCACAGCAGTGGGGGAACCCCCGAGGCACCGAGACCAGGCGAGAAACGGGCGTTGGCCACCTAGTTCCTGGTGCCGGCACGCAGGATGGCTCCCCAGGGCCCCAGCTCGCCTGGCGCCCACTGGCCACGATGGGTAGTAAAGGCACTTTTAGATTGTTGGGTTTTGGTTAAAGTGTCAGTTCTCAGCTGAAATTCCTTTGCAAAGGAAGGGAGGAAAACCCACCCTTGCTTTTGTTCAGTGGCCTTGGGATGGTGCCCCAGGCCCCACCAAGCCCCTCCTGGCACCAGGAGCTTCAGAGGCCCGAGGACCCCGCAGATGTCCCAGCTGTGGGTCTGAGGAGGGGGCTCCTGGTGATCTCTGGCCACGTCACCAGGGAGGACCTGGGCCGCATGTCCCTGAGCCGTGAGCCAGCAGGAAGTGAGCTGTCCTTGAGCCGGCACGGCCCTGGCTGTCCGAGTGGCCGGCGGCCCCCAGAGACCACAGGAGTTCCCCGGTACGCTCCGCAGCTCCTCCGATGACAATAGCAAGGAGCCCCGAGCTCCCAGCGCCACCCACCACCCCGCGTGGGGATCAAGAAATGCTCAATGCGGGCGGCTGCTGTTACTGCGGCCGACGACAACGGTGGGGACAGGGTGTGTTCTCAGTTGTGGGGCTGGGTCCCAGGGAATCAGGCTCAGAGCAGAATGAGGCTGGCAGGACCCTGCCGCCGGGAGCCGCGAGTCTGAGAGCTGGAGCCCCTGTCCCATGCAGCGGCGGCAGCTATACCCGTTTCCATTTAAACTCAGAGCAAGTTTAAAGCACAAAACTCCACGCTTCAGTCTGCAGCCACCCACCCGGACGCCTGGTCTCAGGGGCTAAGCGGGGCTGGGGCTGGTTAGCACCTGGATGGGAGACCACCCGGCAGTACCGAGTGCTACAGGCTTTATAAACAACGAAGACAAAACTATGCCCTCGAGTCACGCTGGCCACAGTTCAAGGGCTGGGCAGCTGGTGGCCACCATATTGGACAGCCCAGAAGGCAGAACATTGCCCTCATCACAGAAAGGTCTCCAGGAGGTGTGGTCCTCATATATAAGTCTAGAAGGTTCTGCTGGACCGCTCTGTTCTCCACGTTTAGGTCTAGAAGCTTCCATTGGACAGTGCTGCCTCCAGGGGTAAGGGCTGTGCCCATGGTCCCCTGCCACCTGTCCTCCTGGGGCTGCTGGCACCTTCTGCCCAGAGGGTGGTGAGTGAGCCTGCCCTGACCTCACCCTGGAGGTGCTGGTAGGAGGGGCCAAACTCCTACGGTCAGGAACTGCCCTTGGCCCCCACGCAGCTGCCCCTCTGCCCCGCCAGCCTCCAGGAAGGACAGTCTGCAAATCCAGTGAGGTGGGGACAGAGCCCCGGTCCCAGCCTGTCCCTGGATCTCTCTGGGGGCCACTTGCTGGGTAGAGGAGAGGCCGTGCTCCGAGGGTGCTGCTCAGCTGCCCCCTGAGAAGGTCCTCCAGGAGGGGTCGGGCCAAGGAGGAGCCGGCTTGGAACCCGGGCCTGTGGGAGGCCGGAGCCCAGGACTGCCGCCGCTCCCTCCCGCTTCCCCAGGAGCCCCCATGCGGCAGGGGAGCCTGGCGCTCTGCTAACTGCCCCAGGCCTCTCTGCCACCAGCCGAGCCTGTAAGGAGGGTACAGGTTGTACCCGGGGCTGCTCCAGGCTGGGCGACCACGTTCACTCTGAACGCGCCTGCCCGCCAGCCTCTCCAGCGGCCAGCTGTGAGCGGGCCGCACCCCCAAGCTCAGAGCTGTTCTTCTGAGAAACTCAATGCACAAATAAGGACGAAACAGCGAATGGGCCCCACGCCTCCTCGGAGGCAGCACCTGCCCCTGGCGCTGCACTGCCCTGCAGCCGCCCTCCCGGAGCCCACACTGGGCAGCAGTACCCTGTGGTGCAGCCCACGTTTCACTGCCAGGACGAGGCTGGGCCTCAGTGTGCTCTGGACCACCGTGGGTGGCAGGCGGTGGGCACCCCCACAGCCAAGTGTCCTCAGCTGTAGCCCCGGGACAAAGATGCCGAAGTAGCCAAAGCAAAAACAGGGTCCTGGGCTGATGGGACAGTAAGGACACGTCCTGTGCGGTAGCTTGAGCCATACTTGGCGGTGCAGGAAGTGCAGCTGTTCCTGAAATGAGCCCGGTGGCCCTCGTCCGACCAAAACCCATCGCGACAGGCGCGACAAGAGCACAGAGCAGGCAGCGGGTCCAAAAAGCCTCCAAAAAACTTTAATACTGATGTGTGGATGCTGCCCACACGGAAGAGGACTTGTCCACCCTGCAGGACCAAGCTGGAGTGCTACGCAGTTGGGGGGGTCCCCAGCGGACCTCCCAGGCCCCCCAACCAGCCAGCCCAGGGCCTGCCTGCAGGCTCGCCCTTACCGCAGCTCGGGGTGGGCCAGGGCTTTGCAGGGCCGGCCCCTCTGGCCGACGGCAGCTCCTCCAGCTGCAGGGAGCTCCAGGCAGGGTCCGGTGGGGCTGGCGCGCCGGGTGAGCTGGGAGACACACAAGCACAGGCGTGAGCGGAGGCGGCATGGGGAGGAGGCAGGGGGCAGGGAGATCTGGGGCGAGTGGGAGGCAGCCCCCTCACTCAGCAGGAGTCCGGCCTCCCGTGGCCTGAAGCAGCCTTAGACTCACAAACAGTGTGTCCAGGGCGGGGCCCCAGGGCCAGCAAGGTGGCGGTGAGCAGGTGGCTCCTGTGTACTCGTGGGCACCGCAGTGCCCCAGGCCTGCTCGCTCGGGGGCTCTGGGCTCTGGCCAGAGGACCAGTGGCATCCCAGCAGGAGCGCAGGTGGTCAGCTTTGGGGTCACCGTTGGGCCCTGGGGCCAGGACCAGAGCCCCCTTTCCAGCATGTCTTCTCTGTCGCCTCTGCTGTCTACTAAGGGCGCTGCCCACGGCTGTCGCTGCCTCACACCACCTCCCATGCCGGCACCTGAGATGGCGGGTGACCTGTCTGTGGAGTACGTGGGCCAGGACCGAGCAGGCAGGCCTGGCCGCACTCGGACACCGCCCCCCCACCCCGCGCCTGGCCGACGCGTTCCGGTGATGGGGTTCAGGGCCGGGCGTGGCACTGGGCCCTTCCCCAGGCAGCAGCATCCATGGAGTGGGAGGGCCGCCAAGTGCAGGCGGCTACAGCCGCTGAGATGAGTGTTCTTGGGGGCACAGGGGATACTGTGCAGATGGGCACGTGGCAATGAGCACGGCCCCCGCCAACGTCCCGGTTCTCATAGGGGCCCAACAGGTGACTGAAATGGACGGTGCTGAGAGACCGGGGCACAAGACCCCAGAGCGGCAGCAGCCCCGGGGCTAAGACCAGAGACGCCAAGGCGGCCGGCGCTTCCTGGGAGCAATCCTGGGGCATGGTCAGTCGGATGCCCCCGGGTCCCTTCCCTTGGGGTGACTCAGAAACCAACCCGAGCAGCGAGCAGCGGCCTCGCCCTGGATCGTGGGTGTGGCGCTCCCACATGGGAAAGACACAAGCCAGAAGGCCCACCCTGGTCCTCGGACTCAAAGCAGGTGGAGTGACCAGAGGCCAGGCCCAGGTGGTGGCCATAGGGCTCCAAACCCCCGCGGCCCAGTGGAGGGCTGAGTGGGACTGTGGTTCTAGAGGGACCCGTCTGGGTCCACTGTCCTGGCCGCTCCAGGTCCTGGGAGTGCCCGGGAGCAAGGCTCCGAGCTGCTTCCCTAGTCCCCCCGCCAGCCCCCCGCCCCCGTCTGCAGGAGCTGGCCTGTCCTCGCAGGGCACGCGCCTCTTGCTGTCTCTCCACAGCCCCTCCAAGCCATGCCCTCTGCCCCGCGGGCTGTGCCAGGACACCGAGGTCTCTGTGCCGGGGTCTGGCCTGTGGGCGGATCTGGCTGGTCCACCTGGGAGCCTGGGCACTAAGCTCTCCAGGATCTCACAGCCCTGCCCCCTCTCAAGGGCTGGGGGAGGGGGTGTCGGCAGAGAAGGAGATGGCCAGGCTGGTGCCGCCCCCTCCTGGCCACAACAACTCGGCTCCACCGACTGGCCTGAGCCTGGGCAGAGGGCAGGTTGGGGGGTGGGATGGGGCCAACCCCAGGACCTGACACAGGTGCCAAGCCCCCCATCCCCTGAGGTCAAGGGGGCTTCTGGAGAGAAGGCTGATGGGGTTTCTGGAGGCCGGCAGGGTGGCATCAGGCTGGGGACATGTCCCAGCGGAAGTGGGCAGGGCAGCCCCATGTGGAGGGGCCACGTCAGGCACCCTCTCCCCAGCTGTGGGAAAACTTCAGAGTCAGAGGAGCAACCCCCGCTACGTGGATTCCGGGAGTGATGGCACCCGGACTGCAGTCCCCGCCCGCTGCCCTAGCTCCACACCTGCTCTCACTGCGCCAGGCAGAGGCGCGGCCCTGAGACGGCACCAGGCCTGTCCTCCTGACACTGCCTCCCCCAGCTTCTGGGTCGCGGTTCTGGGTTTGCGAGCCTGGGTCCCTGGGCTGCCCGGGGCTCCCTGCCCTGGGTGCTTCAGTCTGAGGACGGGGACAGGGAGGTGAGAGGGACACGCGCCTCTGTTGGCAAGCGGCGTGCAGGGCCACAGGAGAGCGGGCCGGGGCGGGGGGCTGGGGACCGGGAGGGGCTACTGCCCCTAGGAGGCCTGGGCGAGGAAGGAGAAGCCAGGCCGGGCAGGTGATGGGGTGGAGGGATATTTGGGGGCACCAAGGGGAGTTTTTCAGGAGAGGAAACCCGAACCCACTCATGAGTCCTGTGCTACAGCTGCTAAGTGGAGCTCGGATACCGCGAGGCGGCAGCTCTTTCGTGCAGACCGACCTACGCCGCGAGCACCTAACTCGGTTTCCACCATGCAGAGCCCCCCGTGGGCGAAGCTTCCTGGGCCCCACGCCACCCAGGGTTAGATTGGGCCGCAGGGCCTGGGCAGGCAGAGGAAGGCCAGAGTCAGTGTCCCCTGCACAGTCTGCCAGCAGCCAAGGAGACAGACATGCAGACAGCGTCTCCCGAGGGCGTGGAGCCAGTGCGGGGAGTGTCTGTTGGGAAACGCGTCCCGGGGGCTCGTTGCTCCGCAGCGGGGAGCTCAAGTTGCAGCCCACGGCTCACAGCCCCATCACAGAGGTGTCCAAGAGCCACCACCGACACGGGGTTCCCCCGCCTGGCTGGCGCAAGAGCTGTGACGCTGCCCCTCCAGCCCAGCTACACCCAGAGCCCTGCCCTCAGCCCCCCACCAGCACCAGAGGGAGACATCCTGGGGGCCATGAGTCCCTGATGGCTCAGGACACGGCCAGGGCCTGAGAGGGAGCTCGGGGCTTACCTCCCCGAAAGGGCGCTGAGGGCCTGGAGAGGGGCCACGTTCCTCTGTAGCCTCTTGTCCGGCTTCTCGCGCTCCTCCTCCGTGAAACCTTCGGGGAAGGAAAGCGAGACTTTACTCCCGTGAGCTGGCGGGAGGGAAGGAGCTGCGGGTTGAGGGGCTGGGGCAGGGGGGCGGGGGTGCCAGACCCACAGCAGAAGCGTCTGAGCTGGGCCAGACACGGGCCCTCTGCGGGAGGCAGGGCAGGGCAGCAGCCGGTGCAGGAGCAGCCTCAGGCCCCTCCGGCCAGAGGACCAGGCAGTGACATCACTGCTGCCACACCACGCGCCTGCCACAGAGGGCCAGCACGTGTTACCCTCAGACGCCCTGGACAGCTCTGCGCTATCATCCTCATATTCCCCTTTCCAAAGAGCAAGCCCAGAGCAGAGGGAAATGGGATCCTCGTTGCTCCAGCCCACGGGGCCCCTTGGCCACGGGTCGTCTGTGGCCTGGGTGCCAGCCTCACCTTCAAGCTTCCCCTTGGTGTGGGCCCTCAGGCACTCGCTCTGCTGCTGCTTCCCGTTGGGGCTCCATGGCAGTGTCTCCCCGTCCAACAGGTAGGTGGGGGGCGGAAGGGGCCGGACCTGCATGTCCACCCAGTCCTGGGGCGCACCTCTGTCCCCACTGGGCACCAGGGCTCCAGGGCAGGCTGCGGCGGCGAGCATAGGGGCAGCAGGCGCGGTGCTGGGGCGCGAGGGTGGCAGGTCCAAGGTCGGGCCTGGGACGGCGTCCAGCACCTCGGACCTGTGCAGTTTGGCGGTGAGGCTGTCAATCCGCTGCTTGAGGACATTGGCCGTGGTCTCCAGCGCCTGCAGCCGCGCCTGCTTGTGCCGGATGGGCAGGGGCCCGGACATGCCAAGACGCTTAGCCTCCTGGGGGTCCAGGTAGATGCACAGCCCCCGGGACAGGTCCTGGAGCTGCAGGTGGCCCAGGGAGGAGGTAGTCGGCAGCAGCACAGGGGCCCCATCTCGGCCGTCCTGGGTGCCTCTCATCCCCAGGCGCCCCAGGGTCTCAGCGTGGCTGCAGGCTCTGTTCAAACACAGGCAGAAGCTGCAGGGAGAGAAGTGTGGCTGGCTCAGCCCTGGCGGTGTGTGTACAGCACGCGTGCGCGGGGATGAGCACTGTGGTGGCATCTGTGACAGACCCAGCGGCTGCCTGCAGGGACCAGGAGCTGCTACAGCATCTGCAGGACAGCCACTGTCAGGAACAGGGAGCAAACGTGGGCCAGAGTGTGGGGACACGGGACCCGCCCAGTGCTGGCGGGTTGGACGGCGGTGCGGCGGCTACAGGGAACAGCGTGGCAGGTCCTCGGGGAGTGACAGACAGAATTAGCTCACGAGCTGGAGGTCCCACTTCTGGGTCCCAGATGGACCGCAACAGGGTCTCAGGGAGCTGTCTGTGCACCCGGCTTCCTGGCAGCCTCGTCCACACGAGCCAACCGAGGCAGCAGCCTCAGCGCCCACCAGGTGAGCACCTGGCATGATGCATCCAGGAAGGAAACCGACACACGCTCCACCGCGCCGCGTGGAACGAGCCGGACAGAAAGACCAGCCCTGTGAGATTCTGCTCACGGGAGGTCCCCGGAGGTGTCACATCCACAGAGACGCGAAGCAGAAGAGTGGGTGCCGGGGCTGGGGAGGGGGTGGGGAGTCGGTGTTTCATGGGGACAGTGTCAGTGTGTGGGAAGATGGGAAAGTTCCGGAGAGGACGGTGGTGACGGCCGCAGAGCATCGTAAACGTGCTTAGTGCCGCTGACCGTGCAGCTAAAAATGGCAAAGACAGTAAATGTTGAGTTACATGTCTTAGCGCCACTGTTAAAGGACACGATGAGGTGAGAGAGGGACCCGCAGCCTCTGGGGACCATGGGGACAAACCTCGGCCGCGGTTGGGCCGAGGAGCCGGCCGGGGGCTGCCTTTGGGGGCATGGGTGGCCTTGGCCTGGGTGGGGTGGCAGATGTGCTGGGTGTGTGAGCGCTCCCTCAGCCGTATACGCGCGACCCACATCTGGGCTCCCTGGGGGTGCACAAATGCAGACGCCCGGCTGCCCTGTGGACTGGAGTCTCTGGCTGCTGTCCCAGGATAAGCAGAATGAAACAAGGGGGCCAGAGAGGGGCTCCAGGGGCCAGGGAAGGGGTGTCCTGCAAAGGCCCGGGGAGCTGAGCCCCAAGTGCAGGTCAGGCTGCTGCCCCTCCCCCAGCACCAGCTGCCAAAGAGGCACCCGAGAGAGCCCCCACCCCAGCCCCCAGCCAGCCTCCCCCCGCCCGCCCACCTGGGCCAACGCGTGCGGGAAGCCTGGCCCCCCCAGCTCCGCGGCAGGTGGCGGGAATGGGGCCCAGTCACGGAGAGGCTGCCACTGGGCTGAGGCCCGCCATGGCATTCCACGGAGCCCTTCCCAGCGGGAGGGAGAGCGGGGAACACGGTCCCCCCTGGAGTGTGGGGGGGGCCCACTCCACAGTCGGGCCCACTGGGCTCGACTCCCCCAGCAAAGTGGAGGGAGGTCTCCAGACCCCCACGTGCATCCAGGGGAGGGGCCCGTTCAATTCAAACACACGGGAGTCGCAACATGACGAAACAGAAACAGAAACGCGTTGGCAAGGACGTGGAGTCCCCGGAATTCTCGTGCTTGGCGGGGGACGTAAAATGCCGCTCCTGCTGGGAAGACAGTCTGGAAGTGCTTCCCAAAGTCCCGTGCAGAGCTGCCACACGGCCTGGCAATGCCGCTCCCAGGCACGTACCCGAGAGAAAGAAAGACAGGTGTCCCAGCACGTACAGGACACCCGTGTTCACGGCAGCGTTATCCAAGCCGCCAAAAGTGGGAACGAGCCGTGTCCATCAACACGCGAGCGCATGAATAAAATGTGGTCTGTCCACAGAATGGAATGTTACTCGGCCGTAAAGGAAGCGGAATTCCCGCACGTGCTCGGCGGGGAAGACAGACCCGACCTCTGACCCCACTTATGTCAAACGTCAGGAACAGGCAGACGCAGACGGAAGTAGCAGCAGTTCCGAAGGCCGGATCGCCTGCGGGGTGCAGCGGCCCTCCCAGGAGCTGCGCCGTCATGGGGCAGTGGTGGGAGCCCCCAGAATGTCCCGCCACAGCCCCGCCCCGGCAGTGCAGCCCCGCCCCTCACACCCACCTGCCTGGGGCCTCCAGGTCCCCCAGCACCATGCCAGACGTCACCTTGCTCCACTCCAGCGCTGGTGACTCCCGGCTCCCAGGGGCCTCCAGGCCCTAAAGCAGGGGAGGTACAGTCAGACCCTCCCGGCCAGAAGACCCCAGAGCCCCATCTTTCAGCCTCGGAGCTGGGCCCTGGCCTCCACCGGGGGTCTCAGGCTGATTCCCTCAGACCCTTGCAGGGAATTGGGGGTCCCTGCTTTAGGGGCTGTGACAGAGCTAATGGGGTCCCCTCCGGAGCACCATCATACCCAGGTGGCAGGTGTTCAGGGATGGCTCGAGCACAGCCATAGGGAAGCAAGCTCTGCGGGAACATCCCCGGGACAAAGGTTCTTCTGTGCCCCTCGCCGGGGTTCCCCAGGGAAACGTCCACGGATGCATGCGTTTCTGACACAACTTGGCAGCGAGGCCACCTGGACCCAGGCCCATTGAAACCCCTGCCCCTGGCCACACCCTCCATCCATCCACTCCAGTGGGCACTGGGGGGTGTGGGGGGCGGCAGCCAGGGTCCTAAGCCGAGCTGAGCACCCTAGCTGCACCCACCCTGACACATACCCCAGACTGCGCAGAACTGGGGACAAAGGTCACGATGCCAGGGGAGGTCTGGGAAACCACGGGAACAGCTCTGCCAAGGACAGCCTCCCTCTGCTTCCTGTACACCTCCTGCAGCCTCTGCTGTCTCAGCTCCCGCGTCCGCGTGGCTGAGGCCTTCTCCTCCAGGGCCTGTCGCCGCCGCGCTTGTGCCTTCTGGCGCATGAACTCCCGCAAGGACTCGGAGCTGTGCTGGTGTCCCGCGAGCCCCCGGGGCCTCAGGCTCGGGGGCAGCCCGTCCTTCTTTCCGGATGGGCTCTGCGGGAGGCCATGCGAGGGCCTCAGCCAGGTGGGCCTGGCTCCCGAAGGAGGGGAGATGGCGCCTCTGCCCTTGCACGGGGCTCCGGCCCTCTGCACGGAGGAGGCGGGAGGGTTCGGCCTTTCCAGAGGGCTCCACGGCCCGGGGGCAGGGGCCTCGCCGTCTTCACAAGCTGCCCAGGTCCTCTGTGGACAGGCCCGCCCAGCCAAGGCACTCCAGGGCCTCTGGGGGGAGGGGCTCAGCTTCTCAGAGGGGCTTCCAGGCCTCTGGAAGGAGGAGTACTGTCCTTGGGTCGCCCAGACCCTCTGGGGACGGGAGGCCTGCCTGGCCGAGGCACTCCAGGGCCGCTGAGAGGAGGAGCCCAGCCTCTCAGAGGGGCTCCTGGGTCTCTGGAAGGTGGAATCCTGTCTTTGGGCCACCCAGGCCCTCTGTGGACGGGACTCCCACTTGGCTGGGGAACTCCAGGGCTGCCAGGCGTGGAAGCTCGTAGCCCTCACTAAAGAGGAGGGCTTCCCCTCTGTCACGGCCCCAGGACTCTTGCAGGAGGAGCTCTGTGCACCCGGGGCACTCCGGGGAGCCTGCCGCATCCTCCCTGCCACGTCCTGCAGCCACGGCTTCCGTGGCCCGAGCTCCCGCCCTCCCCTGGGGCCCTGGGCCAACTCCAGCCCAGCCTGGATCTGCCGGCGCAGGTCCCGTAGGATGGCCATGGCAGTGTGGATTGTCGCTGGCTGGTCGCGGGAGGCCAGGCTGGGCGTGTTCTCAGACACCTGCCGGTCGCTGCTGGCAGAGACAGGGCAGGGTGGCTGGGCACGGACAGGTGAGCCCTCGGTGGCTACAACTTTCCTGCTGTCCCCTGCAAAGACAGGCAGTCATAGAGCATCAGGAGCAGCCAGCGGGAAGGGAAGAGCGAAGCCAGCTCTTCCACCTAGAAGGGTGGCCCACGGGCGGTGGGGAGGCCCTCAGGCACTCGCTCGTCCCAGAGGCCCCCTAAGGGCAGGTGCTGCGTCTGGGGGCAAGGCTGTGCCGGGCACCTGGCATGGAGCCCCCAATCTGGACACATAACGGAGCAGGCATAGAGAGGTGGAGGGTCTCTAGGGGGGCCTGCCAGCCCCTTCCTGCACCCCTCCCATGGAGAAAGCCTAGATGCACACCCTGCCCCAGCAGCTGACCAGGGAGCCACGTAGTGACAGAGACCCTCTTCTTAGGCTTTAAAAACACTGATTTCCCAGGTCGCTGGTGGTGGCAGGTGTGGAGGGTGCCTGGCAGGCTGCTGGAAGAGGCGCCAACACCCCTCCTTCCAGGTGGCCTGGGGGCTGGGTGCTTCCTCCCCTGTGCCCACCCCCAGATGCCACAGCAAAGCAGGACGGGCCCATGGCAGAGGCACGGGGTACCTAATTCCGCGGCGAGGGCCGGGTCTCTTGAGCGTGCCTGGCTCTGGGGCCTGGGGAGGCCGGGAGGGGGCCCGAGCAGCAGCCTCACCAGAGCTTGTCCTTTTCTCCAGCCACAAACACCAACCAGCTCAGAATCTTAAACAGAGAAAACACACGCACACAGCTGGGGTACGCCGGCCCCGATGGGGAAGTCGGTGGTTCCACACCGCCCTGGGAGACCACTTCTCCCACTCCTGGAGGTGATCAGGGTGAAACTTCTCATGTCAACGCCCCTGTGGGGCAGAGCCAGACTCTCTGCCCCAGCCAGCCTGGGGCAAGGCTGAATCTCAGGGTGACCACGAACAAGTGACTTCTCTGACCCTTAGTCTCTCCTTCAGTAAAGTGAGGGTAATAAACGCTGTTCCCATAGCTTTGTTTGCAAAGCACTCGTCACAGGCCAGGCTCAGCACACGCTCAGGAAGTGCTGGCTGGCAGCAACAGCGCTGTAGTAAGGGGCCAGCAGCCCACGTAGCCGCCGCACACGCAGGGTTCAGGGTGGGCTAGGAGGCCATGCTGCTGTTGAGCGTGTGCGCTGAGCCCGAGGAAATTAATCTGTTTTTAAGCTGGAGAGAGTCGGCTGCTGCCGACAGGGCTGGGATCAATGAAGACTCCCAGGCTGGCAGGACAAGGGGTGCGGACATCGCGGAACTGAGCGATCCGGCACATCCCAAGCACAAATGAGCTTTCTTTAATAAACGCTGTCACATAATAAACATCATTTATCTCGGTTTTACTTCATAATCCCATATTATGCTCACCAGATGCCAATACTGGCCCCACCACCGTGACAAACCCGTCCACAAGGGCCTCAGCAAAGGCGGGAAGCAGTGGCCGGCGTCCAGCTCACACACGTGCACACATGCATGCACACACGTGTACACACACGCACACACACGCACACACGTGCAGCACCAGGTCCAGCTGGCTCTGCACGGCCAGGACCCCCTGCCACGGACCGCAGCCCCTCCCATGCACCTTCCTGGGGGCCAGCCCGGGGCAGAACCACTACGTGGCCATGCGGTCTCAGCCAAGACGCGCCCTTGCTCTCTGCAAGTGAGAGGGAACCCTGGCGGGGACTGTCCAGGCAGCTGACCACCGGGCAGGCTGCCAGACTGAATCAGGCGCCTCCCTAGCGCTCCCCCGGGGTCAGCACCCTCCTCAACCTGCCCTGAACCTGCCATCAGCTGCAAGCCTGAAGCTCTCTCCAGAAAGGGGAATGGGCGACGCAGAGCCACACCCCTGAGCCACGCTGGCTCCAACTCTCCTAGGACAGGACTCCAAGGCCACCCCTACTAGGATAGGCTCCCAAGGCCCTGCCCCGTGCCCACGCCCACTTTAAGATAGGAACCCCAAGGCCACGCCCTCCGAGCCATGGCCTCCCAACACCACGCCCTCTCTAGGGCAGGACCCAAAGGCCACGCCCCCATGATCACACCCACTTTGGGCTATGACCCAAGGCCATGGGCCACGCCCCCTGCAGGACAAGATCTCAGGGCCTTGTTCTCCTAGGCCACGCCTATTTTAGGACAGGGTTCCAAGGCCACACCCACTCCAGGACAGGGTCCACAAGGCCCCCCAGAAGGTTAAGAGTGCGGTCTCAGAAACCCCAGGTTGGGGTTAAAGCCTGGCTCTGCCTCTCATCAGCTATGGGCTCTGGGAAAGTGATTTAATGTCCCTGTGGCTCAGTTTCCCCATCTGCAAAACAGGCAGCAAGCAGTCACTAGCATTATAGGAGCGCTGGCTCGGGGTGGAGTCGAAGGCCAGAGCTGAGGCCAGCTAGCCATGCGGCGGGCTCCAGGTGGGCCTGGGCGGGGGGCAGGCCCGGTGCGGTCGGGCTCCCAGCAAGGGCCCCCGTCCTAGCCCTACAGCTGCTCCACAGCACACAACTGGCTCTGTCCCTCCATGGCCCCTGGGCAGGGGCTGCTGCCCCCAGGCCCTCCATCACCCGCCACTATTATCGGCCTCCCCATTAGCCCGCCAGAGGGGCCCTGGTCGATGAATGGGTCCTGATGGGCACATTTTTTTCTTCCGTTGAGCAGTTTAATGGCAATTAATTCTTTTACGAGAGGATTTTTAATCTGTGGAAACGGATGAAGTCCCCAAGTGCCCTGTCAGGGTTCCGGGGCAGCCTAATCTATGATAAAAAATGCAAAGTGAGGTGGTATAATCTGAAATTAAATATCAGGCTTCATTTTCCTCCAGCCCGGATGGATGAATATTTTATAACTATTGTGATTTAATTTTTTGTTAACTACAGCAAATTTCTAATTCATCCAATTCCCAAGTCCGGTGGCTCTGACCTCTGAACCCAAACTCATCTCTCCTTAGCGCAGCTGTGACTTCCGCGTGACAGGGACGAATGGTCAACACCACCAGGGTGACGCGGCGGTTACGATGATGAATGTGGCCCCTGGCACGGCCTCTGACCCCGTGTCAGGCAGAAAGCAGGTCATTTTTCAAGCAGGACATTAAAATAAAACAAACCAAGAGGCTGGGGGAGGGAGGAGACAACCACGTAGAAAATTGTCGTATTTTATGTTTTTGCAGGGGCCTTCCGGAACCTTCCTGGTGCCTCCAGCATCCCTCCCCCTTGGGTCCCAGTGTGGGTTTTTCTTCCTCTCCTGTATCACCGCTGGCTCAGCTGAAAGAACACATCCGACCTGGGCCGGGCGGCCCTGCGAGCTCCCGCCTCACGTGAGCCCCACGCCAGCGCCACAGAGGAGGCAGGTCCTGGTTCTTTCCGGCAGGCGCCGCTGCTCCGCCCCAAGCGGGACAGTCTGACAGTTCTGGGCAGCAACGGGCACCAGCACGGACAGAGCACACACCAGCCGCTGCCTACCCCACAGTCCCGGGGCTGTGGTCGCAGACAGTGTAGGGAAACTGAGGCATGGAGAGTCACAGGGGCAACTCCCGCACTGCACCCCAACAGCGCCTGCTGCCCACACTTAGATTAAGGGTCCCACAGAGCTGACAGCCCAGTCTGAGGTGTTCTCCCTGCCTGGGGGGCCCTTGGTGGTGTCCCCAAAACCCCATGGTTTGGAGGTCCCAGAACCCAGGCCCGGAGGCTGGGCTTGGACGAGGTGTGGCGCCAGGTACCCGGCTGGGCTCTCAGGTCAGGAGCACAGGCCTGGAGCTCGAGGGGTCAGGGGTCAGGGCCCAGCCCGGCCCTGCCTGTGTGGCCAGGGGCATGTTGTCCCACCTCCCCATCCTCAGCTTCCTCGTCTACGGATGGGAGCACACCTCCCGCCTCGGGAGCAGTGGGGGTCCGTGAGCTAAAGCCCACGGAGCACTTGGCACACACCACGGGCGCTGAGCAGCCCCGCCCTGACCTGGAAGACGCGCCAAAGGAAAGCTCCGGAGGGATTGTGCCGCCTCCATCCCACCGTTGCCCGCAGCCACAGCAGCCCTTCCCTGCGGTGGACGGACCCAGCCCCGGTCCGTCCCACAAGCCCAAAACCTGCACCCAGGTTGGGCAGCGGAGTCTTGGTAGGGCGCCAGCACCCTGCCCAGTCCTTAGGGAGGAGACACCTGAGTTAGAAACTCCTCTGTGACCGCCGGCTCACCACCAACAGGACACTTAGTAGAACTCTCCGGACACGTCTATGAGATTAATCGCCACACACATGCCGGCTGACTTGCAGCCCCGGGTGACCGCTCCGGTCCCCAAAGCTGCTGGACAGAGCAGGAGCCACCCGAGGCCTTTTCCTACCCCCACGTGCTCTGGTGAAAGTGGATGCTCTGGGCTTGTCCCGGCCCGGGCTGGACAGGCCACCTTGCTCCCTCGACCAGCCGCTCCACAGCTTGCCCAGTGGCGCTGTGCAACACAGAGCGCACCCCGCGCTTGACCGGGCACCAGTGCTGCCCCGCCACGCCGGCCCTGCCAGCGTCTGCGGACGCCCTGAGGAGCGGCGAGCTACCAGCACGTGATGCCGCGCGGCCGAGTGGCCTCCCGTCCTCACAGCCTCACCCGGCCTACGAGGTCGAAAGGACAGCTACCAGCACCTGGGGGCTGTGGACTCTCGCTGCGTCACCAGGGACACCCCTCCTCCCAGGAAGGGACCACCCGCTGCTCCAGCGGTGGCCAAGGTCGCCAGCTGCCCGGGACACTGACGCTGACACTCAGGCCAGGCCCCTGTGCACGCAGCGGTCCAGGTGGCTGCTGGTAGCTGGCCAGCCCGGTACCAGGAGCGGAAGCCATCTGCCCACCTGGGGAGCTGGGACCATAAACCTGCCCCCCTGGCCCGGCCAGGGCCTCGACGAACAGCTCTCACCTTTGTCTTTGGCAGCTCTTCTGGGGGCGGGTGACTTGGGGGCCTTCTGTCTTTTGCAAGAACCGCTTGTGGCCCTTTTGGTTTTTTCCCTTAGAGCTTCGGCTAAGGAGAGAGAAGGGAAGGGAAGGCGGAAGGGTGAGTACGGAGACACCACGAGGCAGCTGCCACGCAGCCACACGCGGGCCACTGCGGACGCAGCCCCTGGAGCAGCGCAACTCACGGTCCCGCTCCCTGGTGCCGCTCCCTGGTACCAGGGTGGGCAGCTGAGTGCAGGCGCCAGGGAGCCACATCCGTTACATTCCCCCAGTGCTCTGCTTGGGGACAGCCACCTGGGGACCCTTCTCCAGGGGCCGAGCGTGCCACCCCCTCCTTCGCGGTACACCTGACTGTGCACCAATTCCCTCCCGGGTGCTGGCGGCCATCCCTCCAGGCCCAGAGGCCCTGAGGACAAGAACCAGTCTCCCGCCACCATGTCCCAACACCCGGCTTGAGGCCTGGGCCACAGGCACCATGACTGTCTGCTGAGCGAATGAATGACTGAAAGAGACCAGTCCTGAGTGAGCCCACGGCGTGGGGCCAGCCGGACTGAACATTGCTCAGGCTGGGGACGAGGAGCCAGGACTGAGTGGGGGGCCTTGGCACTGTGGGGTCCCCCTCCGGCTGAAGAGGGAGGAAACAGAGACCCTGAGAGGTGCAGAGTTTGCCCGAAGTCCTGCAGCAAGCGCAGTGGCCAACCAGAGTGGACCGGCTCCCAGAGGCTTCTGGTCACCTCTCCTGGGCCGTTTGACCTCTCTGGTCCCTGTGCGTTGCGGGGGAGGGGCTGCATCCGGAAAGCACCAAATGGTCAACCAGACAGCAAGCTGCGCGGCGTGAGGGGGCTGTGCCCCCCGTGTCCAGTGGGTGTCCCACGGGCCGGGTGCGTGGAAGATGACTCTGGTCCAGAGTCTCCAGACACCACTCAGTCCAGGCCTCAGCCGGTCCCTCGGTTGTCCGGGCCCCAACCCCGCCGGCAGGAGGCCCTGGCGCTCGCAAACAATACCACTTATGGGATCCCTGGAGTCTTCAGACCCTTAGAGACAGGTCAGAAACGTGGGGGTGGGGAGGGAGTCAGTGCTTCGTGGGGACAGTGTCAGGCTGGGGAGACGGAGCGTCTGGACAGGAGGGTGGTGACGGCCGCACAGCGTGAATGTGCTCAATGCCACGCCCGGCTTCTGAGGGGTTCTGAAACCAGGAGCGTGAAAACCGGAGACTGCCAAGAGCCAGCGATCAATGGACCTGCAACTGAGGTCCCGAGTGACCGATCGCCGGGTCCTAAACTTGACTCATGGACCCCGGCAGCCTCCCTGGGGCAGGGACAGTGACCAGCTGGGTGAGCGGACACCACGGGGGTCCTCCTGGGAGGAGGAGGGGAAACCCGGGCGTGCTCGCTGGGAAGCACGGTGGATCGGGGACGGGCGGGGGGGGCTGCCACCGTGGGAGCAGCTGGTGGGCGTGGGGCAGGCCAGAGCGGGGCTCGGGGAGGTCTGGCTGTCAGTCAGCCAGCCCCAGTCCCTGCCTGCGTCTGCACCTGGCACACATGTGGCATGGGTGGGACTCGCCCAAACGCACACCTGTGGCTGTTGCCCAGCGGGGCCCCCACTGGAGTACAGCCTTCACCCTCCACCCACCCACCACGGCCACGCCACGCCACGGGATGGGCGACGATCGCTCCCTGGACAGGCCCCGGGGGCCTGACTCTCCCCTCATGGCCCTCACCACCCCAAGGAAAACCACACTATTCCCCTGCGCTGAGAACCAGAATCTGCGGGCGCGGGGGAGCCCTGGAAACCCCTCTGCTCCCAAGCCCCCTCCCCCGCCATGGTGGGGCTCCAGAATCTCACGGGGGATTTTGTCTCTCCGGACCGTGGACAGACTCCCTCACCCGTTCCGCACCCTGCGACAGAGCGCGCCTGCTCGAGCCCAAACGCGCCGTCTCTCCACACTCAAACCCTCAGACGGCTCCTGCGGCCCAGGGACGAAGTCCATGTCCCTCGCGAGATGCTCCTGTCATCCTCACCATCCTTGCCCTCCCGTCTGCTGAATGAAGGTGTGAGCAAAACCTAGTGGTGCCCTCAGCCCCTGGACGCTGCCCAGCCCGTCTGGAAGTGTGCAGACCCACTGCTGACCCTTCCGTTCCGGCGCTGCCCGGGCAAGACAGGGCGTCTGTGGCCGGATGGGACCATGCAGGAAAGACCTTGCCTACCTTGTGCAGAACTTTCAGCAGGGAGACGCCCTGCCCAGCTCCCTGCCCTTCGGGGCCTGCCTGGATTCCTCCCCCGCCGCCAGCGAGGCAGAGGGTGAGAACGCAGGCTCCCGAGGACAGCGGGCTGCCTCCAAGTCCCCACTTGGCCCCTTTCCAGTAAGGTCCTCCCTGACCCTCAGTGTTCTCGTCTGCGAGTGGGGCTCGGCACGTGCTGTCCACACTGGGGCCTGAGCATCCAGCCCGGAGCACCAGGACGGCCACCACAGGACCATCCACCCAATGCCTGGTGCTAGGAGACCCTGGAGGGCTCTGGCCCCTGGCGGGCGGACACCTTGTCTTCAAATCTGCGCTCAGCCGCAGGATGCGGAGCCTGGGGCCGAGTGAACGGAGGGGCGGTGTGGGAAGAGACTCCAGGAAGAATTTCCAGGAAAAGGCCCCAGTTTGGCAGCGTCCAAAGGCCTCTAAACAGCAGATCTGCCCAGCGCCCCGGCCTGGGTGCATCACGGGGCCACCCCACAGGCAGCGGCGCTCAGCCGGGAGGCCGGCATCTCGTTTGGACGGCGGTGTCACCGCGCCTGTGGCGAGTGGGCTTTGCGGTTTGGACCACGCAGCTCGGGAAAGGGGGTAACAGCGCGTGTGTCAGATCGTCAAGTGCCAGCCAGGGCGCCTTGCGGGGAGGGGACACGGGAAACAGGGCGGCTTTTACCGCACTCCTCGCGCATCTGCACTTTCCCCAAACGCACACTGCCGTAAAAACAGTCACAAAGGACAAACCCTGTGCGATTCCACTCATGGGAGGTCCCCAGAGACAGGAGGTGGGATCGTGGGCACCAGGGCTGGGGTCGGGGAAGTCGGTGCCTCACGGGACAGTCAGCCTGGGGAGATGGAAAGTTCTAGAGATGGAGGGTGGCGGCGGCTGCACAACCCTGTGAGCGTGCTTAATGCCACTGAACAGCACTTTGAAAATGATTGGGTTGGTGCGTTTTATGCTGTTATTTTGCCAGAATTTTTTTTAAAAACAGAAGTTATTATCTTAAAAATAAAAGAAGGAGAAAAACATCTCCCCTGCCTCCTGGGGAAGAGTCAAGCTCCTAGACACAGGATTAGGTCTCCGCCTCTGTCCCAGCAGAGAAGCTGTTTAGAAACTTTTTTTTTTCAGAGACAGGGTCCGGCCCTGTGGCCCAGGCTGGGGTACGGTGACAGATCGCAGCTCGCGGCAGCCGCCAGCTCCCGGGCTCAGGCGACCCTCCCGCCTTGGCCCCCGGAGTGCTGGGGCTGCCGGTGCCACCGCGCCTGGCCTAGGAGCTTTTCAAGTCGCCACCCCAGCCCTGCCCCCCAGGGCCAGGACTCACGGGAGGGAAGGAGATAAGACTCGGGGTCCCGTGCTGGCTTCTCAGGGTGCTCCCGACCTGAGTCCCCACAAACCTGCCGCTTGCCTGCTAACCTCTCGTGCAGCCCTCCAGGCCAGGGACCAGGGGTCCTCCTCGCCCACCCGCAGGCCCTCCGTGGCCCCCAAGGCACCCTTCCTCGTCTCCACAGCTCCCCAGCCGTCTCCACCAATGAATCGGATCACCCTCATCCTAAACCCAGCTCGGAACCGTCTCCCTCGTGGCCTCTAATCCCTGTCTCGGGGCCACGCTGCACACGCCTCCCGTGTACCCAGCACAGCCGACCCTGCCCGCGCTCCACCCTCCCGACGGCCTGGCCGCCCCCGCCCCCCGCCAGCAAAGCTGCCACTGACCTGGGTGCTGGGGGGCTGGAAGGACGTTTGTCACCTTGCGGGTCTTCCTCCCGAGCACCTGTGGGGAAGCTCTGCAGAGGCCGGAGGCGCTGGAGGGCGCCGTGGTCCCCAGGGAGGCGCAGCTCCCCTGCCACCGCACCTGCGCCCGGATCTTGTCCCTCAGCTGCTCCAGCCGCAGGTCGCTCTTTCTGGGCTGCCGCTGGGGCCCCAGCGCCTGGGGCGGCCTCTCCTGCCAGGGCCCACGGGGAGGCACGCATGGCTTGTGGCCCCCTGAGGAGCCAGAGAGGCGGCCCGATGACACTGAGCTGTCCCCATCGCTGGCCTCCTGTCCTGTGGACCATACGGGCAGGCTGCGGAGCTCCCCCCGGGGGCCTGGCTCCTCAGTGTGGTCAGAATGGGCCACGTGGGGACCTGCCTGGACTGGGCCTGGCTGCTGGGAGGGCCCAGGCCGCCTCCGGGCAGCCATGAGGTCATCCTCAGCCGCGGGTGGACGCAGCCCGTCTTCCCTGGGGAGAGAGCAGCAAACTTGTGGTCAGGCGTGGAGGCCCCGAGGTGCTGAGCCCGTGGTCCCCGGCGCCCCTGCTCCCTGCTCTTCTGGCTCCGAACGCCCACGGCCAGGGAAGGAAGAGGGGCCATGCCGGGACACTCTCTCCAATGCTGGCCACAGTCCTTTCAGGTAGGTACCATGACCACCCTGCCCTACAGATGGGGAAACTGAGTCTGGGGAGGCCAGACTGCTGCCCGAAGGCACAGGCAGGGCAGCACCCCCTGGTCCTGACCCCACGGCCTCAATCCTTTCACCGAGCCGCTGCCCTCTGCAGAAGGCGTGGCATCCGCCGGCCGTGCGCCCCGCCAGGTGTGCCCGCACACTCTCCTGGGCACACAAACACTACCTGGGCTGGCTGCTGGCCTTCCAGGCAACTGCTCTCCTCAGGGCCCTGGGGGAGAAGGGGCCCTGCCTCTGGCTGCCCCTGGGGCATGGTTGGAGTGTGTCCCCCAGGCAGGCAGGCAGTAGGCCCAGGACCGGGGTCGGCATGGCCACAGGGCTGGCTGGGGTGGCGGGAGGGCGCCAGGCGAGCCCCGTCTCCCCCTGCCCTGGGTCTGGTGCTGCTTTCACATGGCAGCCTCGAGGTCCACAGCCCGGCCTCCGTCCCTGCTCGGGACGGGCTGGCCGCTGCCCAGCTCCGGATGCCGGCCCGTGCCGGTCCCCTGGGCCACGATGGAAACCCTCACGTTGGTCATTGAAACTGGGTGGGCACAGTGGGCTGCCGGGCGCTGGGCTGGCAACAGCTGGGGGCCTCCCCAGTGATCTGCCTCTCAGTGCAGGGGACAGAGTTCCAGCTGGCCCGTGACAGCATAATCACCCTGTCACTCAGCGACAGAGCCTGGGCTCCAGCTCCCGCTGGGCCCCAGCTGCACCCACCCCAGTGCTGCCAGGGCCAGAGTGGGCACCATGAGGGTGGGGGGCAGGCTGGGCTCGTGGGGTGTCAGGCAAGGTCCAGGTTGGCAGGGCCAGGGCCGGACGCCAGGCTCAGTTCCGAGTGGGGTCAGCCTGGAGCTGGCACAGAGGAGAAGCGGCCCCGAGGCACGTACATCCCAGTAGCTGGTCGGGACCCAGCCCTGACGTTCTAGCGTGAAGACATCAGCTGCCATCTGCAGTTTCCTGGGGCTGGGCCAGGGGCAGTGAGCGCTGGGTCCTTGGCTAACCCCAGCGCAGGCCGGGGCACTCTTTTGCCCACAGAACTAGCACAGAGGTGCCAGATGCCACCCCTGGCCAGGAGGCCTGGAGTCCTTGGCCTGTGCACCCCGGTGGGCTCCCTATGATCCCCCACAAGGACCCTGGCAGGTCAGCATGGTGGGGAGGACTCAGCTTTGTGGTCAGCTGGACCTAGGCTCAGCATGGTCCCCCAGGAAGAGCCCAGACTCAAATCCCGGTGCCCCCAGCTCCGCCCCACCTGGCAGTGTGACCCTGGGCGCCAGGCAGGCCCCCTCCAGCTGCCGCTGGGTGTTTCAAGCGCCCGGTGAGCTCGCTGCAGCAGGGGCGGCAGGGGGAGGTGCTGAGAGGATGAGGAAGCTTATTCCTTGTAGGAGTTGCCTGAAAGGTGCCCCTTCCTGCGTGTCCCAGAGGAAGGCGGCTCTGCAGCAAAGAGCCCCTGCTTCTGGGCAGCCACGAAGAACGGAAGCTGCCCTTGGGGCTCACTGCAAAGAACCTGTCCTGGGGGGCCGAGCGGTGAGTGCCTGGGGATGCGGCCCAAGCCCAGCTCCGTGTTGGCTCCGGGCACAGGGGTGGGGCTCCCAGCGAAACGGGGCCTGGGCCTGGTGAGCACAGCCCCTGGTGTCCAAGGGACGGAGTCTGAGCCACCAGCAGCCACGGGGGGAGGTGGGGGGAGTGGCCCAAGGACTGGCAGGTCCTGCCTGGAATGCGAGGTGCCACCACCTCCACCCCAACCCAGCCTCCCCAGCCCCCCTCCCGGTGGGGACATTCTGGCACAGCCTCCAGCCCCAGGCCCCAGGCCACACCTGGTGACCGGAACAGACGGGACCTCTGTGGCAAGGGGCCCGGCCGGCACCATCCGGCTCTGCCACAGCCACCTGGCCAGGGTCCCGCCCTGCCCAGGCTCACGCAGTCCACAGGGGACATCACCTGGTGTGGCTAAAATAGGGCAGATCCCACCTGTGTGTTTCTTGATGACGTTTGCAAAAGAGCAGCTCCCGGAGAGCCGACCCCACGGGAGCAGGAAAGCCCCAGAGGCTTGGAAAGGTTTAGGCCTTTCTGGACCCTTCTAGTACCTGCTGCAAGGGATGAACATGTTCCTGCAACAAGACTCAGGCTGCTATACCCTGGGCAGCAGGTCTGGGTGGCACAGGAAGCTTCGGGGACATGTGGGGGTGACTGTCACATCCCCCACACCACCCTGGGACCCTGACGACTACTGGCGGACTTCCCGCCTCCCGCCATTCCCACTGGCCTCCCTGCACGCGGGAAGACAGCTCTGCAGCCTTTGTGAGAATAGAAGTCTCTCCCTGAAGCCCTAGGGCCAGCCCCTGTCCTCCCGCCCGTCCGGCCCTTCCCGCCAGGCCCTGGGGAGCTCTCCAGGAGGGGTCGGGCATCCGCACTGAGAGGAGCCGGCTGCCAAGAAGCTCCTCCTAACAGACGGCCTGGCCGTTCTTTCCTCCCATTAGCAGGAAAACAGTCCAAGCACTAAACTGACGCCCCCGGACAGCTGGAGACTGACTCCTCCGGGAAGAAGCCGCACCGTAAACACGACGGAGCAGTCAGTGAGAGGCTTTACTGTCTATAAAAGGAAAATTATGAAAACAAATGCCTGGCGAATGGGGGATGAAACCGCACGAGCAGAGCCGCAACAGCGCCCCGTGAGCTGCGCCACGCCGCCACCCTCCTTCCCCTCCTCCCCACCCCACATGGCGTCGGTGCAGCCCAGCGCATGCTTGCCCTGCAGGAGCATTCACGGAGCCCCCGGCGCACCAGGCGTTGCTAAGCACTTGGTGACTTCTCTCTCGCCCCGTCCTGTGACCCCCCGGCGAGAGAAGTCTAATCGTCACCTTCACTTTACAGCGCGCTTGAGGCCCGACCTAAGTCATGCGTCCAGGGTCCTGGCAAGGTCAGGTGGGGGATGCCAGGCCATGTCCACAGCCTCCCACCCCCTGGGGCCAGGAAAGAACAGCGGCCCCCACCAGGGTCCCCAGCACCAGTGGAGCCGCCACATGAGGGGGGGCTTCTTGGCAGGGAGGGGCTGTGAGGAGAGGCCAACAGGACAGCCACACGTCTCGCCCTGCCTGGCGGATGGCGGGCACAGTGGACAGCAGGCACAGCCCCCAGACACACTGGGAGTCCTCAGCGACTGGGGCGTGTGGCGCAGCCCTCTGGGCGCGAGCTCGCGGCTCCGTAGAGAGAGCAGAATGGGAGACCCCGGGCAGGACTCTGGGAGGGTCAGAACACGCAGTACCCAGCGCTCACCCTGGGGCTGGGCGCGGAGTGAGAAGTCAGCTGGGAGGACAACACGGCGCCTCTGTCCTCATCCACCCCCCCCCCCAGAGCCCAGGCGCCAGCCCAGGCCCCCGTCCACTGCTCAGTTCCGCGACAACCGCGCAGGTGCAGCCCACAGGTGGCGGCAGTGCCGGGGAGGCGTGCCCACCACACCCCACAGCCCGCTGCCACCACAGAAAGCACATGGGCGCTCCAGCCCGTGGCATATGCCGCACTCCTGCTGCAGTCTGGGCTGCTGGGGGTGGTGGACGGCGGGAGTGGGGGGCTTCCTTCTGGAAGCTGGCAGCAGCCCTGCTCTAATTAGAGACGCTGTTTACTTCTCACCGCCTCGCGCCTAGAAAAGCAAACCCTGGGCAGGCCTGGGCAGGCTCGGGGGACAGAGTCAGCGCCGTGACGGGGAGGCAGGCCCACCACGCCCACCGCCTCTTGGGCCCAGGGCTGGTGACCACAGAGTGCTCCGCAGCAACGGCAGCTGGGCACAGGCCTGGACGTCGGCATGGCACCAACCGCCACCGCCTCGGCCCAGCCCTGGGCGCCAGGCAGCGGCCCCACAGCCCAGGTAGGGGCTCCAGCTGCCCACAGCCACGCCCTGAGGCCACCAGGCAGCAGGGCACCCAGGAAAGGCAGCAGGGGCGACGCTCCCAACAGGAGCACTGGCAGCCCCCCAACTCCAGAGGCCGAGCCAGGTGGGTCACACCTGGGAGACGCCTTGCAGACGACCAGAGGACCTGGGCACCGTGGGCCCTGCACACTTGAAAGCACACAGCACACGCCACACAACACACATAACACACAATACACAACACACATAACACACACAACACAGAGATAACACACAACACAGTGAACACACATAACACAGAGATAACACACAACATGCACAACACAGCACACACATAACACACACAACACACAACACACACAACACAACACATAACACACACAACACACAGATAACACACAACACAGAGAACACACATAACACAGAGATAACACACAACATGCATAACACAGTACACACATACCACACACATAACACACAACACACACAAGACATAACACACAACACACAGAGAACACACATAACACAGAGATAACACACAACACGCATAACACAGCACACACATACCACACACCACACACATAACACGCATAACAGACAACACGCGATGCGCATACACTCCCCACACCAGGTCTGCAGCGTGCTGAGCCCGCCCGTGTCTGAGTCAGGGTGGCCTGTCCCTCTGGCCTCGGCTGCAGGTGGCTCCCGCTCGCCGGCCGCTGCCCAGGGAGGCCGGCGGATGCCTGGAGGCTGGTCAGGCCCCGGGACTCAGGGCCACACAGAGGGGCAGATGCGAGGGCGGGAGCAGGTGACACAATAGCCACAACCGGGGAAGACGTTGGGAGGGGGTGCCATTGGGGGAGCCCGATGGCGGGTGAGAGGAGGCCGGGAGAAACCGTGGCCGGTGGCTCTGCCCTCCGAGGAGCAGGCATCGCGGCCACAGGAGCCGCGTGTGGGAAGGGAGGTCACGGCAGCGGCACCCCAACCTCTCGGCCCCACCCCGCAAGGCCATCTGCTGGGCAACCAGGAACCGTGACCCCACGGCCCGCGCAGGAGACGCTGTCTATGCTTGCCACGGACACACCCGCAGACGTGCCCACAGGGAGCGGGGGCAGCGGGACCCTGCAGCACAGGCCCATTCGGCACAGGGCCCCGAGCCTGCCACCTCCCATCCCCACCGCCAGGCCTGGTCAGCCTCCTCCGAAGCCGAAGTCAGCAGCAGCCCGGCTCCGCTGCGCACGGCGCCCAGCCCCACTCCAGACGGCCGTGGACAGCAGCGTATCCTAAGCCAGCCGCTGCTCGGGGCAGCAGGCCCTGTGTCCACGCGCTGCCCGGGCGACCCTGGGCTCCTAACGCTGCCCACGAGGAGGCGCCGTCACACCGCAGAACGGAAATGCTTCCTCAGCACCTCCCAGGGCCAGGAGCCCCGAAGCAGCTACCCCGGGAAAGGAGCCAATGGACAGAC